AAAAATATATTATTAAAATATCTATATTTTAAAGATTTTTTTTAATAAAATAATAGTTTATAAATAAATGTACAATATTTGTTATCATACGTGGCAAGGTATCATACGTCGTTAAAAGATGAATAATATAACAAAATACATGTTAATACAATAGTTTATATCTTTTCATTTTTCAACGGTATTTTATCTTATTACAAGAAATGTGATTTTAATACATTTTCAAAAAATATCATATAAAAAAAATTCAATAGCATTGTCTTATCTATGAGTTTTAGGTGTCGTTTACCAATGTTAAATCGGATAAATGCTTAAAGTGTACGAGTCATTATTTTCGTTTATATTATTGGGTAAGATTTTCGGTCATTAAAATGACGTAATAAATTTTTTGATAATCATATTTTACTCGGTAAATGTTAACCTGGTAAAAATCACCATTCTCACTTACCGGGTAAGATTTTTTGTTTTTATTATATTCATCCGGTAAGATAAGTAACCTCATAAACATTTGCCCGGTTAGCGTTTGGAAAACTACCTCTTGTTTGGTTGTCAAACTTCATATTAATATTTCTTCTAATATTTAAATCTCATCATGTATTACTAGAAGGATATTCGCTCAATGTAGCGAGATATATCTCGACTTTAATGTTTCGTTTTATTCCGTCTCTGTGGATGTTTTAATAAGGTTTTTATGTGGTTTTGATAAATAGATAATGTTTATATTTTTAATAAAATATAAATTTGAAACTATCATAAAATTTTGAAAATAAATATATTAATATTAATATCAAATTAACTATTTAAAAGTTCTTGTTTTTCGTGTAATTTTTTTAATTCAATTTTTTATTATAATTTAGATTTAGATTTAACAATGGAGTAATTAATTTTTGATTTAATAATATATAATTTTTTATAAAGATAATAATTAAGTATTTTGTTAGAACTCAATAATTATCCTAATTATACTTTAGATTTTTTATATTTAAAATGAAATGTTTATTTTGTATTTGACTATGATTATCTATAGTTAGTTACACGAATTCAAACGTGAAGCTTTAATAAGTTGTAGTTACACACCTTGAATTTTAAGTAATATATACATTAATAAACAATATTTCATACATAAAAATGGTTTTTCAAGAGTTTTTGTCAAATACTTTATAATATAGTATAGATATTATAACTGTCATGAGATAACATCCTAACATACCCCATATAAAACCCGTCTTTAAATGTAAAGGGACATTATTTTTATCCAAGCGAAAAAATGGAAAAAACCAAAACCATAATATAACAATTTCATTAAATATTGATAAAAAAGAATTAGTCAAAGTATTAAAAAACCAGTTATTCAAACAACAAATCGTAAACTTGTAATTATCTATTCAATGATTTGGTACACCAAAATCCATTAGGTACGAATATATTGAATTATAAAAAGGGGTCGTTTACCAAATATTTACTCGGGTAAGTGTTTATCAATTCACATTTTTTTTACCGGATGAATATGATAAGGATCAAAAATCTTACCTTGTAAGAGCGATGACATGAACCGAGAGTCTTACCCGGTAAGTGATGACGACGACTCTTACCACGGTCAGCGCTTACCGGGTAAATTATTACATAAAATGTTGTTTTGGTAGACTAAAATCTTGCCCGATAAATAAAATATAAAGTTGAATTTTACCGTTAAGCGTTTTGTCGGGTAAGTGTTTAGCTAAACGGCAACTAAATGAGCTGTGTCATATGCGACACGTAATAAAAATTTATACGAATTAAACATCGTATGTTCAAATTTAATAAATTTGGATTGAAACAGATCAAATTATTCAACTTTCCATTGAATGTTGAATTCTGATAAATGATCTGATCCAATTAAGTTTGGACAACAGATTTGATTCGATTAAGTTTGGACAACCAGTTCAATCCAATCTGATGAATGATTGGATGGGTATGGTTATGTTCATTGGATTTTATTCTTGGTTATTTATTGGATCTGATTGGATTCATCAAATGTTTTAAATCAAGTATCCAAACATTTCAACTAATTATCCAAAAGGGTCGTGGAGAGAACTTTCTTTCGTCGTGAGAACCCCTTCCCAACCATCGATCGCTTTTGATCCAACAACGATCAACGCACATACTTTTGTAAAAGGACAAACATTTCCGCCATTTGACATGTTAAGGTGTGCAAGCTATGTTAAGATTTGTTTGGTTTTGATGTTTTTTATGTTAATGTATGTGAAATTTTTCATGTTGAGATATGTGAAGTATGCTAAGGTATCTGACGTGCCTTTATGTATGTGCGTGTCCCCCTACATCAATGCCATCAAAGTTCCATTTAATTACATCCACACCATTGTATTTTTCTAGTTTCCCAATCAAATGAAAAATCATCTCCGATGTGGTTCTCATAAAAGATAAAACTTAACACTCGGGGAAAAATCAAATTGAAATTGAGAACCACAATAATATTGAGAATCTTATTAACCAATCCCAACCATTCAATTGGATTGTAATTTGATGATCACTGGCTTGGACTGTTTTTTTTTTTCTATTGGATTTTGAGCAAAAATTCAACAAGCGAACGATTCAATTTATATATTGAAATTTCGGATGATATCCAATCCAGTTACAGTTGATATCCAATTCTGATCAGTTGGTTATAATTAAATCAGATAACATTTTACATACCCGATATTAGGGGTGTAAATGATTCGAGTCGAGCTCGAGTATCACTATACTCGACTCGAACTCGAAACCGAATTTCCAAGCTCGAACTCGACTCGAAAACTCACGAGTAGTAAAAATCAGAGTTCGACTCGAACTCGATAACTATTTCTCAAGCTCGAACTCGAACTCGAGCTCGAACTAAGCTCGAATCAAGCTCGAACTACAACTCGAATCAAGCTCGAACTCGAACTCGAATCAAGCTCGAACTCGAATCAAGCTCGAACCAAACTCACTCATTGAAATTTATAAAACTTAGGGTCTTTCTCTTATAAATTTTAAAACTTAAAAGTGTTCTCTTAGTCTTTATAAAAATAAAGAGATCAACTTCAAACTTCATCATCAAAAAGACAAAGTTAGAAAATTGCATTCATCTTCCTCTCTTTTTATAACATCTTTTCTTTCTTCATTTACCATCTATCTTCCAATGTGTGACAACTTCACTAACTTTTTTTATAGTTTTTTTTTGTCTTTTTTTAATTGTTTAAATATCTAAAAATATAAGGCATTTATATTATTTATATTTTACATATTTTATCATAAAACCTGATTATATACTTTAAAACTAATTATATATAAAATAATCGAGTATCTCACGAGCTTTTCGAGTCGAGTATTGGGTAGCTTGACTCGACTCGTTAATATGTCGACTCGAGCTCAAGTTCGAGTCGAGCCTATTCGAGTCGAGTGTTGACCGAGCTTTGACCGAGTCGATCTCGAGTAGCTCGCGAGTTGTCTCGTATCGTTTACACCCCTACCCGATATTCATTAGAAAATTAGAAAAAACTTGATGTTTTAGGAAAGCAAATCCACATGGAGATCTTAAAACACAAGACGTAATCAAGAATCAATGCATGGAACCTAAAAAAAGGCAACTTGCTTTGACCATAGTTAACTGAATCTTGTGCACTCGTTAAGCACATGTTTTTCTATCGACCAAATTCCAATTTCCAACGAATTAATATGATTAAGACTTATTTATGATCAAATCCCAATATGATTAAGACATGTTTATGATAATTATAAATCGTTTTTCAACAACGTTTGATGAATCATCAAACATGCAATTAAGTAGTCCATTCATATTAAGCATGAATAAAGATGCACCGTTGAGTTTGAGGGTAGGGACCAATTACATGTAGCATCATAATTGATCTGGTTTTAGCTCAAAAGTCTGATCAATCATATATTTTTAATCAATGAACGATTATTGCAAAGATCAGTTCAAACTCGGTCAAAAACCAACGATATTTTTTATTGGATTGGACTCGATGATCGATAAAATAAGATCATTTAAGGAGGTCACTTTTGTTGGGTCTGTTTTGGTAGTGCGTATATCATATCTCACTTTCTTTGTTATTAAATAAATAGAAAAGTCAGATATGATATGAGAACTTTTTTTTTTATTTAACAAATACCATAGAATAGTGAGATGATATATCAATAAAGTTTTCATATCATATTTTATTATTTTATTTATTTAATAAATAATATAATTATCTTAAATAAATGATTCGTATTAAATCTCATAAACTTTATAAATTTGAGGGTTCTTATTTGATTAAGTTAGTGTAACTTAAAACGTTATTAAATGCACAATGACTTATTACAAGTGATCATTAAATTATGATTTTAAAACCAATATTCGAACATATCTCAATCTATTTGAAAAAAAGTTGCTTCATTTAATTTTTATATTAATTACTAATAAAAAAAAATAAAAAATTGATCTCACGATTGTTTGACTAGATCAATTATTTGTTTTTTATAATATTATTTATATTATAATATAAAATATTT